AACGTCATAGTATAGGATGGCATAAAAAGTCATACAAACGTCATGCATAAAAATAATCATAAAAACGTCATAGTGAGTAAGGGAATAAAAAGTCATAAAAAGCGCATTAGATAGGATGGCCATAAAAAAGTCATAACAAACGTCATGGCATAAAAATCATAAAAACGCATAGTATAGAAGGCATAAAAAGTCATAAAACGTCATTAGTATAGGAGGCATAAAGTCATAGTATAGTATGCATAAAACGTCAAATTTAAAAAATGTCATAAGTATAGTAAGGCACAAAAAGTCATAAAAACGTTCGATAGATATAGTAAGCCATAAAAAAAGGTCATTAGTATAGATGCATTAAAACGTCATAAAAACGTCATTAAGTATAGTAAGCATAAAAAGGTTCATAGTTATAGTAGTGGCATAAAATGTCTATAAAAATGTCATATGTATAGTAAGCACAAAAAGGTCATAGTATAGTATGGGCATAAAAACGTTCAAAAAAGGTCATAGTATAGTAAAGCATAAAGAATCATCAAAAAAACGTCATTATATAGGATGGCATAAAAAGGTCATAGTATAGCTATGGCATAAAAAACGTCATAAAAATTGTCATAGTATAAGTAAGGCAAAAAAGTCATAAAAAAACGTCATAGTATAGTATTGGCATAAAAAGTCAAAAAACGTCATAGATAGTAAGCACAAAAACGTCATAAAAACTCATAGTATAGGATGCATAAAAAGTCATAAAACGGTCATTAGTATCAGGTGGGCATTAAAAAAAGGTCAAGTAAGTATTGGCATAAAGAACGTCATAAAAATGTCATAGTATAGTAAGGGCACAAAAAGTCATAAAAACGTCAGTAGTATAAATTTAAGCACAAAAGTCAATAAAAACGTCATAGATAAGTAAGGCATAAAAAGGTTCATCAGTAAGTATGGCATAAAAAGTCATAAAAAGCGTCATAGATAGTAAAGGCACAAAAAGTCATAAAAAACGTTCATAGTATAGTATGGCAATAAAAAAGTCATAAAAACGTCATAGTATAGTTAAAGCACAAAAAGTCATGAAAACGTTCATAGTATAGTAAGTCATAAAAACGTCATAGGTGTAGTAAGGCCATAAAAAGTCATGAAAGTCATAGTTGGATGGCATAAAAAGTATCAACGTAGCCAAAAAATCATTAGTCATATTATAGAGCATAAAAAGTCATTAAAAACGTATAGTATATCGGATGGATAAAAAGGTCATAAGTAATAGTATGGCATAAAAACGTCATAAAAATGTCATAGTATAGTTAGCACAAAAAGTGCATAAAACGTCATAGTATAGTAGCTAACAAAGTCATAAAAAACGTCATAGTATAGTAAGGCATAAAACGGTCATAGTAAGTATGGCATTAAAACGTCATAAAAAGGTCATAGTATAGATAAGGCAATAAAAAGTCAATAGTATAGTATGCAATCATAAAAGTCATAGATAGATATAAAAGTCATACAAAACTAATCATAAAGTCATAGTAAGTGAGCACAAAAAGTCATATAATGATAAAAACGTCATTAAACGTATTATAGTAAGGCACAAAAAAGTCATAAATACGTCATAGTATAGTAAGGCATAAAAGCAAGATCATAGAAAGAAAACTTCAATAGTATTAATAAAGGCATAAAAAGGTCATAGTATAGTAGCCGTAAAAAGGTCATAAAAACGTCATAGTTATAGTAAGCACAAAAGCATAAAAACGTCATATTATAGTAAGGCATAAAAACGTCATAGTATAGTATGGGCATAAAAAAGTTCATAAAAATGTCATAGTATAGTAAGGCATAAAAAGGCATAAGTATAGTATGGCATAAAACGTCATAAAAAGTCAGAGTATAGTAAGGCCATAAAAAAGGTCATTAGTAATAGTTATCATAAAAAGTCATAAAAACGTCATAGATTAGTAAGGAACAAAACGTCATTAAAAAACGTCATAGTAAGTTAAAAAAAAAAAAATCATAAAAACGTCATAGTGTAGTAAGGCATAAAAAGTCATAAAACGTCATAGTATAGAGATGGCATTAAAAAGTCATTACAAACTCATGCATAAAAAGTCATAAAAAACTCATAGTATAGGATGCATAAAAAGTCATACAAACGTATGCATAAAAAAGTCATAAAAAACGTCCTAAGGTCCCTAGTAATAGTTAAGCACAGAAAAAGTCATCAAAAATGTCCATAGTGATACGTATGGCATAAAAAGTCATTAGAATGTCATTATAGTAAGGCATAGAAAAACGTCATAAGAACGTCATAGCTATAGTAAGGCCACATAAAAGTCATAAAAACAGTCATAGGTATTAGTAAGGCATAAAAAGGTCATTATAGTAATGATAAAACGTCAATAAAAAGTCCATAGTATAGTAAGCATAAAAAGGTCAGATGTTAGTAACTGGCATTTAAAAAGTCATAAAAACGTCAGTAGTATAGGATTGCATATGTCAATAAGACTAAAAAGTCATAAAAACGTCATAGCCTATAGGATGGCATAAAAAAGTGCATTACAAACGTCATGGCCATAAAAAGTCATAAAAAATGTCCATAGCTTATAGAAGGCATTGAAAAAAGTATAAAAACGGTCATGTATAATACTAAGCATAAAAAGTCAAAATAGTCATAGTATCAGATAAGGAACTCATAAAAACGTGCATAGTTAGGTAAGGCAAAAAAGTCAGAAATAACATTCATAGTAGGTATGCATTAAAAAGTAAGATCATAGTATAGGATAGGCATAAAGAAAGTCATAAGTCATAGATCATAAGGCATGAAAAAGTCATAAAAACGTCCATAGCTATCTAGTAAGCATTAAAAAGTCATAAAAACGTCATAGTATCATAAAGGGTAATGATAAGGCATAAAAAGCATAACGTATAGTTAGGTGGCATAAAAAAGTCCCATAAAAACGTCATTAGTATAGGAGCCAAAAAAAAAGTCATCAAGTAATAAAAACTCATAAGTCATAGTAAGCAAAAAGTGCATAAAAACTTCATAGTTATAGTGCATAAAAAAAACGTCATAGTATAGTAAGCATTCTAAAAAGTCATAAAAACGTCATTATATAGTAAGGCATAAAAAGGTCATAGTTAGTATGGGCATAAAAAGTCATAAAAACGATCAATATTAGTAAGGCAATAAAAAGTCATAAAAAACGCATAGTATAGTAAGGCATAAAAAGTCATAAACTCATCATAAAAGTCATAGAAATAAGTCATTAAAAGTATAGCTATATTAAGGGCAAAAAAAAATCATAAAAATGTACATAGTATATAGAGGCACAAAAAAAGGTCATAGTATAGTATGCCATAAAAAACGTCATAAAAATTGTCATAGTATAGTAAGGCACAAAAAGTCATAAAAACGTCATAGTATAGTAAGGCATAAAAAGGTCATAGTATAGTATGGCATAAAACGTCATAAAAACGTCATAGTATAGTAAGGCATAAAAAGGTCATAGTATAGTATGGCATAAAAATGTCATAAAAACATCATAGTATAGTAAGGCACAAAAAGTCATAAAAACGTCATAGTATAGTAAGGCACAAAAAGTCATAAATACGTCATAGTATAGTAAGGCATAAAAAGGTCATAGTATAATAAGGCAAAAAAATGACATAAAAATGTAATAGTATAATAAGGCACAAAAAGGTCATAGCATACTAAGGCAAAAAAACCAAAAAAAGAACTTCATAGTATGGTCAGGCATAAAAGGGCACAGAGAGGTATAAAAACTATGGCAAGGCATGAAAACATCATAGCATACAAAAAGTCAGTTTGAGTTACCAATTAACCTAATGTGTATGTCTTTGGACTGCGGGAGGAAGCCGGATTGCCTGGAGAGAACCCACGCAGGCACAGGGAGAACATGTAAACTCCACACACATGTGCCCCTGGCCCAGGGTTCAAACCCAGAACCCTTCTCATTGTGAGGCGACAGTTCCAACCAATGCTCCACCTACCCACCCCTTATATATCGTCGTATTGTAAAGCATAGAAATGTCATAGTATAGTCAGGCATAAAAACTGTATAGTATTCATGGTGACATTTTCATGAAACTTTTTGCAGAAATTAAACTCATACCTTTATATATCCACCATTTTATCATTTTACTCCTGCTAGCAACCTGCCAGGGTAAGCTTGCATATATAAGCATATATAAACCTACGTCCTTGTCACCATGAGAAGCAAAGGCACACTGCATTCCCCTGGTACTGTATTTGTTTTAAATGTAAATCCCTAAAGTGTGTTTTCCTAGTAGCCTGGATCTGACTTATTTCATTATGCAACACAAAGAGATCTCCGTTCATATTCCTCCCTCCATGGCTCACAGCACCGCTGCACTAAATGACTGGAAACTGGATGATACCCAAAAACAGTGTGAGGGCTTCCACAGGAAAGGATTGGTCTGTCCCTGCACACACTCATACACACACTCATACACACGCCCACACACACGCACCCACACACACACACACACACACACACACACACACACACACACACACACACACACCACACAATCCTCATTATCCTCTCCTGGACTACACAGGACTACAGACTTCTGACTGCCAATTTCAAGCACAGCTGCTGCTATTTTACTTCTTGAGCCCAATCACATCCACTATTGACTTTTTTTCTATAAAAATAAAAATATGAACTTCAGTGCTGCCTTTTTTTACATGTACAATGTCATCAACTGGTTGCATGAAGTTGTCAACAGAACTCTATCTACTCATGAAAAATTAACTATCCTCCAGATTACAGGAGTTATTTAAAACCTTCACCTGATAATTAGTTTATATAACCATACTTATAAAGGAATGACAATGTGTCTGAGTAATGAAGAGTCCATAGACACCCAGTGATTTAAAAAAATAATTGCCCAGTTTATTCCCACGACTCACCTTACATAACCCCAATCCCCCCCCCCAACCCTCCCTCCTACTACATATATCCAAGGTGTCCTACCCTCTACTGCATGTCTCGGGGCCGTCTTGCGCCCTCTCTTGGGTTCATCACAGATCCACTGCTCACAGCATTGTCCCCGGACTTTGACCCGGCGTGGGGTTTGGCACCACACCCGGGGAGGCTGGGACTCTGTGCACAGAGCCACACAGCCGATGGCACCGTTCACACACACACACTGGTATTTACAGCTGGGCTTGAAGCTCTGCCCGTTGCGGTAGATCACACCATCATGCTCACAGCCTGTTCCCACCATATCTGGAAAGGAATGACAGCCAATCACATACTGTATTATAGAGACATGCAGGGCAAAGTACAAACTCTTGGAAGCTGTATTCATGTCTTGGCATTTATGATCTAAACAGTTACAGATGAAAATATTCTTAGAAGTACAAATCTGACATTTCAGGATGAATAACTAAATAATTTTCTACTTTGTGTTGCTGGTTGATATCAAACATCAGTGATTAAAACCTCAAACCATTTAAAGAGATTTTCACAGTTTGTATGTAGTAAATATAGTTAGCATGAGCAGCAATGATCACTATGATAGGACAAACAGTAGAGGCTCGGCTGCATTCACAAAAATGACAAAGATGCTGTGAAAGATAAAAAGCAGTAAAATATAAAATGATGATCACGTTATTACAGCTCTGAACCACACTTCACTTCCATATGGACTTTGTAATATGGGTTACTTCACATTTGTGGAGATGCAACTGTTGTCACTGTATTCAGAGTGATTTCCATTCAGCAGCAAAGTGTCTGTCATGCAACTAGACTACTAACATAAACAAAAGTCAGAGAAGATGAAAGAATGGCTTGTGTGTGGTATCCACTGGTCAACATTAAAATGCATTGATATTCTGCCTGTGTTGTTACTAAACATAGATAGATAGATAGATAGATAGATAGATAGATAGATAGATACTTTATTTATACCCAAGGATCCCCAGGGGATAAATAAAGTACCTATCTATCTATGTCAGCCAGTGTGGACCTGCTCCCCTCAAATCCGGTGTGGACAGTGAACCTAACACATCACATTAGAGAAGATTCCCCACTGTGCAAGAACACTTGTTTGTTTTGTTGGTTTTGGTGAGTGACACTTACATGCACACACTCCTTTTTCGTACCTAGGCTTGTCCGAGCTGTAGTCACAGTACAGTCCCTTGTGGTAATCGCACGTGTCTGCCTCATTGCACACCTCGCCCACCTGCCGGGCGCAGGCCTTGCAGCAGTCACAGCCGTCCATGAGGAGGCTCACACCGGGCGGACAGGAAGGGGTCACCTTGGGACACTCGCAGGGCCACTTGCAGTACTGCGTCCGGTTGTACAGGTCGGCAGGTGGGGACGTTAAGGCTGCGGCAGGCGGCATGGCAGTGGAATTCTGGGAGTAGGCCTGGAGAAAGGAAAGTGGACAAATTAAGCCTAAAAGAAAGAACAACTCCAGGAACCACTTTCCTATAAAATGTATTTAATATACCAAGATGGATGAACCTTCATTACATTGAATATACAGTCAAACTAAATCTTAGGCTTTAGTTGATACGGTTACTCTTTGTTTGTGCAAAATCAAAATGCAATCTTTTATTACATGAAAGGTATTTGACCCCCTGTAGTGAGGTAATATTTTTAATATGCTTAATCCTTCTTAATCATTCTTTCATATCCAGCCCTCTTTAGTAATTCTGTCTCAGTGCGTCACTCTTCCCAAAGGTCTCAAATTGCTTATTTGTACACCTCTGCTTCATTGCCTACATGGCAGTCTGCTAATGTGTGGTCATGCTGTGCAACAAATTAAATAAGTCTATAAAAATGAATTCAACATCCAGTGAAGATAATCTTATTAAATCAGTGACCAAGTCTTGTATGGACTTAACACTTGGAAGCGTTCCATCATCATATTCAAAATCTGCAACTGTGCGAAACAGTTACAAAATCCTGCCAAAGAAACATAATCAAGATGTCCCCCTCAGTGTGTTTTGACTCTTACAAGCAGCTCTGTGAAGCCAAGATCACACCGTAAAGAGCTCTGCAGCTCTTAAAAGCAGATGTTCTCACTGAAACAGGCCACATGAGGCACATTAACAGCTCAGCACTCTTAGTTTTGGAGAGTGGACGCATGAGACTCTGTGGACGAAACTTGTTGGTTTTGATTTAGAATGTGTTTTTTTTTTTTGTCTGACAACAAATTTTTAGAGATGGAATTAAATTCCATTTGTTTTGAGAACATGCTGTGCTTGAGTAAATGCCAGAGGATTGGTCTCCGTGTTATCGTCCAGCGAGTGAGAAACTGAGATTTGTTTCTTAGGCAAACAACAGTTATATTTGCTTCAAATGCTCTGATGAATGATGATGTTCAGATGAAGTGATACAATCAAGCTGCAGCAGCTGCCATGTCCATCATAATTACCACAACGTGCACAGGTCTAGACAGGGAGTGAAGCATTTGATTAGAGGTCGAATATTGTCTGTATGCTCTTAAATCATAACATGAGCCATATGCTCAGAGGAGCACTTTAGTAAGAAGCTTCTAATCCATGAAAGACACACATACACAAACACACATGCATGCACACTTAATCTGTAGTTAATTGTGAGAAAACATGCTTAATCATCTTACGCATGGTGTACCCTATGTCATTTCCCTCAGCTTGTTCTCCGCACTTCAATGGAATTATGCTCATATTAATAACTGCTGTGTACGGTGTTGAAAGCTAATGCAGATAAATGAGTTTTAATCAGAGCGGTGCCACTAAGCCATTCCTCAGAAATGCTAATTTAGCCTGCAGCTATCAGGCTAATTTAGAGAGAGAAAAAGAACAAACACAGCCCAAAACATGTCCATTACCCTCACAAAGACAGGGGAGCAGAGAGAGCTGGGTGTTTCATAAGTTCATTATGAAAACATGGAGTAGGCCTAATGCAATCATCATCCTCAAATCGTTTATCTTTGCTGACTAAATTTAGCATGATTGAATTTAAAAAGCATTTAATCACTGTTAGGAGAGGGTGGAGTAACAAGGCAATAAATGAATTAGAGAAAGAAATATTTAAGACAACTGGAGCAAGACTACAGGCACAGGAAGATGCAGAAATAATTTAGTGATCTCAAAATGCTCAGATTTCATACTTTTAGACTCAAACCACACATAAGTCATAATAAGGTTTCAGAATCCTCATCTCTTAGTGACCTCAAATAGCTGCTGTGTTTTGGTGACGGACAGCTAATCAAAAGTGTTTGTTTTCTCTGTTGAGAGAGGTGACACAGACTGATGACCTTTCTTCCCCTGCTGGTCTGATATTTTCTTCCTGTCAGCCTCTGGTCACAACACATGACCTCTGAAAGCATGTGCGCAGGCACGGACAAACCCTTCCTCAGGGAAGACGGAAACATTTGAAATAGAAAACTTTTCCAAATATTGCCAGGGGGCAGTGAACAAACTGTCACTCAGGCATTGTTGTTTTTAATTTCCTTCCAAAGGTTTGCAACACTGGAGAAAGGAAACATGAACTTTAACTATTTGAAATATATTCAAACTTAAAAAGAGGTGATGAAACTGAGGAGAATGTGATGACTTGGATTACTACATTACATCAGATATTTTTATTAACCAAAACTATATCAATAACATCTTATATAAAATAATGAACACATATGACTTATTTATAATATTAAACGTTTTATCATACAAATACATACAAATTGATAAATGTTACAGTTACCAAACACCAGTTGCTAAATGGGTTTAATACTACACATAAAATCTGCAAAACTAAGAAGAAGAACTGAAATTTCTTTAAAATAAAAAATCAACCTGATCCAACAAATATTAACACCAAGTCACTATTTTCTCTTTTATCTAAGCACCCAGTTTCCAGAGGATGAACAGCTATACTGATAGGTGCATTAAACATTAATGAATCATTTAAAAAAAAATGCTGTTTCCTTTATAACCACGAGGTGGCGCTAAAATATAAGTTAGAAAGTGTAGCTGCAGGGTGGCAGCTGCTACCATCCCACACTGCAACTTCAATCTTTGGATGATTGAGGACAACAACGACTTCACTTCAGAGTAATCAGAGAGGTTTAGAGAGAATAATGAGCATCAGCCCAGTCAGTCTATTCATTCAAACTTCATATGTCACTGTCAGCACTGACTTATCTACAGATGCCCTCAAGACTAAGTGCAAATCAATTCAATACGTGGAGATCAATCGGATCAATAGGATGATATTTATGAGCCTGCAACAAGAGGAGGAACAAGCTGAACAAAGCAAGTTTGATAAGGTCACTTCGTTTTCAGCACAGGTCCCTGCAGGAACAGCTAACGTCCATGAACTGAGTTGCCTTGAGGAACGACGTGGTCACTATAGACTCACCGTCACACCGCGTGTCAAGACCCTGTGGGGATATGGGCTATAAAAACACTCTACAGTCTATATAAGGGCTGGGAAAATAAAATAAAAACTGTAAGAAGTCACAAAAACTTACTGTGAAGTACTACGCGTACACACACACACACACACACACACACACACACACACACACACAGATTGCGAGCCTCCATCAGACGTTTATATTCGTTTCATGGTGTAACAATGGATACTACTACTGATAGAGATGCATACTTTCAGAACTTGTATTTATTAACTTCCTGGCTCCTGCAATATAAAATGGAGTCAAATATGCAGCTTGCACAGAAAACAAAAAGATTTGAGAAAGTTATCCTCCATCCCACCTGTTGAATCCCGCCTGCTGTTAGAATCCACACCAGGAGCCAACTCATCACTGGTGGAGAGCTGCAAATGCATTGAATCCAGAATTAGTCCCGTGTTGTTTTAAACGCACGACGCGCCGCTCTCCGCAGGTGTGCTACATCCTCGTCCCGTCGCTGTCATCTCCGCGCACCTCTGTCTACGTCCCGGCCTGACAGCCTGTTAAAGAGTCCGGGCTGACGTAAGGTCTGAAAGGACGAGCCCCGCATACTTCCGACAGGGGACGGTTTCTTCTCTCCCTCCGCTCCACTTTCACCCGATCCTCCTCCTCCTCCTCCTCCTCCTCCTCTGAACGCTGGCAGCCCCGGTGGTTAAGGCGTGTCTGGAAACCCAGAGACACTCATGGCCAAGCCGAGGTCCCTCTGACCCCTGCGTTACTGCTTCGAAGTCCATCCTTAAGCTGTGCTCACTTACACATATGTACTAAAATCATTTCTCCTCTCCATGCTGGTGAGGAGACCCTATCAGAAGTGTTAGTGATGGGGGACAAAATCCACAGTCGACATTATAATACATTCAAAAATAAAGACCATGCCAATATGAGGCTGCAGCAGTTTCAATATCAAATGTTAAACATGTATATTTACCATTTAATGAGTGAACTGGATGCACATCTGCCCAGCTCATGCATAGTTATTTAATGCAATTACAGTCTTTTTCAAATTTTTATAGCCTACATTAGATTTAGAAGCCTCCATGATCTCTGTAACTGTTTATTGTCAGAGTCAAACATGCCACTTAATTTACTGAGTTATATTTATGGTGCCGAACTGCAATCTAAGCTCTACTCTACTCTTTCTATGCACAATTTATGAGTATTGCTGATTTGGGATTATTATGATCTCAAATCATGCCCTGATGTTTCATTTAACAGCATCTCATCTGTCTTTGCAGATGTTAAGGCTCCACCTCAGATGACCCAGCTACAACTGGAGAGGAAGAAAACGAATCTGAACTGCACAAGAAGTGTTGAGACAATCACTTGCTTTCAACAGGAGTGAATAAACACACTGCACAGGTTGCCTACCTCCTACCTACAGGGTCTATTTTAAAGCTGGGACAGTGTCTGGCCCCCAGATGTTCAGTTTAAATCAATGATGTCATCTATCTCAAAGTCTGCTACTTTGCTTTCTTTCCATTTTCCAGGAAATTTGAATGTTTCTCTTTGAGATGACGCAGACGACGACCAAAAGAATTCCACTTTACACTGCTGTTCAGCCATATGGAAAATGGCTTTTATGTCAGTTCTGCTGGACGCCACAGGTCTGCTGATGAAAATCTCACTGAAAACAACCTAAACTCTGTGAGAATAGGCAACACACAGAGAGGAAGAGTTATAGATGAGAAATTAGCACTTTGTCAAAGAGCAAGGTGCCCCAAGTCTGAACCCCTATTATTTAAAGCCGGTCCCCTAATCCCTGTCAGAGAGCTGTCAGCCTCTGAGCTGATCTGAGCAGCACTTCTCTGTCTGCTTCGACCGGGACGCCCCGACCCCTCCGCAACACAATGTACCCTCTCTCTCTCTCTGGTGTTTCTTTTCTCTCTCGTGTTCAGTTTCTCTTCATCTTTACTTTTCCATCTCTGCTCACTCTCTGTTGCCCTGTTTCTTTCTCATACTTACTCATACCCATTTCCACCCACCTCATTTCCATTCAGTGGTAGACTGTAGATAAGATTTTCGATTTTAGATATGTGACGTAACCTTGTCCTGTGCCAACTAACATCAGTATCTCTTCTCTATAGTTGATCCTATGGGTTACGTTAATGATATTGGGTTTTTTCATTATTCTTGAATTCGTAAAGTAAGGGTTTCCATTGTAAAGGTTTTGATGGTTGCTCAGAAGTATTATGTTGTTTCAGTACTTCTCCAGTTGCAGTAACACGTCTGTTTTCTCATTGATACACATCTGATTATGGTTAAGCCGTCTAGACAAAGAGAACTTGGGTACAAAAACATTGTACTTTTCTTTTATGTAATAAATAAGACATTGAGCAGTGTTGTGAGTCCTGCGGGACATATTTGTGAAAATTAATATTACTGCTTGTGTTTCAACTGCACAATGTAAAGACAATATATACAAAAGTAAGGTGGAGGTGTATGTGCGCATTCCAAAAAAATGATATATCTATAAGTATATATATATATGAATAAGAAACAAACAAATTCAGACAGACAGACAGATCGATGGCTATGAGATGATCAGCAACAAATAGATTTAAAGGACAGTCCACTCATTTTGAAACAATCAGAAATGGGGTGGGGTGGGGGGGGGACTTGAAAAGAAGCTGCACATTGAAAGATTTTCTGTGGATTCACTTTTTCAGTCTCTTTCCTTCTCTGTTTAATCCTTTAAACCTTCCCTATTTGTCTGTCAGACACAGGAAAAAAAAAAACCCACAGATGGTATCATTCATGCTAGTGTCTGCATCTGTCCTCCATTTTCTGGCCCGATATGATAGCGGTAGTTAGTGCTAACTGCGGCGCTTTACATGGACATACAGCATGCACCATTAGGTGACGTCAATCCAAAGCAGCTCTGTATGCCAGCTCCTCTGTGTTATTCACGTGTCTGTTGTGGTGGCACATTTAGCAAAAATGTCTCATAATGAAAGCCAGGTCTGAGGCGACTACTGCTTTGCTCTCACATGAAGTGGATATAGAGCTCAGTCTGTCAGCTGACTTGAATTCAGGGTGTTAAATGATTCTGCTGAAGTTTTAAGTTGAAGGTTGTTAAAGGGAAAGGCTAAACAGAGAGGGCGAGGGCAGAGGACCAGCTTCATGCCTCTTCAGATGTTTGATTAGTGGGATAGCTCGGAATAGTTAACGTGCTAATTAGTAAAATATAGACGTGCTCGCAGGTGGATTTTGTTGTTGACCTATCAACTGAGCCACACAATCTGTTTTCCCCTGTTTCCAGTCTTTATGCTAAGCTAAGCTAACTGGCTGCTGGCTGTGGCTTTATATTTACCATACAGGGTGTTATCAACTTCTCATGAAACACTTGCCAAGAAAATAAATAAGTGTTGAACTATTCCTTTTATCTTCTTAAGGCCTCCAGAATATCCCAGCATGCACTGGGTGAAGAGCTTGAAACAACACAGATTTCCATCATTCATTTATCCATATTAATGGTGAGCTTTAAGTCTCCATCTGAGTTTCATAGTCTGAAAGTCTGGGTTGATCTACAAACCTAAACAAGATCAAACCAGAGGTCAACAGTGCCAATCACTGACCCACTGTGTCCCCCTATATTAGCAAGTGCACCCCTTGACTCTTTGGGTGCATCACATCCCTGTAAGTGAGGCAGAATAAAACCCAGCACCCCCTGAGTATTACGCAGCGTCTGTCCCATGGGAGGGAGGTTGAGCTCCAGGTATAAAAGTGTGTTAGATGGCCTGATTATGGGAGCCAACCATCTAGGACTCAAGTCTTGCATAGCTGGTCAAACTGAAAATCCCCTCATTAAAATCCCCTCAACTCACAGAGAAGCCTTGAAGTCAAAGCGTGTTTTGGAAATCTTCAAGCTTCAAAGTCAAGTGGAGTCGGTAATCCTCCTTAAAATGGGAGAATGAGTTTACAACACCTTGAGGCGACCAAAAACTGCTGAGGTGATACTTAAAAAAATGTTCCTTCCCAGCACAGCGCTAGTGTGGGAAAATTTTCTGAACATCAGATCACTCCTCTGCAGCTAGTGGCCTGTAAACAGCTTTAAAAAGCAGAGTGTTTTCCCTGCTGCTTGAAATAGCTCAAGATCAGAAAAATCAGCCCTCGTGCAAAAAACACACTGATTTTATTTATCTGACTTTATTCATAGTTAAAGGGAAGTTTGAATGTTAATATAAGTGCAGTGATTAATGCAATGCAATGCAATGCAAGTTTCCAGGACATGACTAGTCTGTACACCTCCATAAATAGGCCCTGTAAAACCACAAGGTGCTGTTTTAATATTTCTGCTTTTGTATGGATTAAACAAACAAGAAGAAGAACATGTTAATTAGTGAGTTTTACAGGTGCTGTAAGGCAAACAGACCAATGTTAGCTGTTTCCACCTGTTTCAAGTATGAAGCCACACAGACACAAACTCTCAAAGTGTAGCCTACCTGTGTATTTCCCCAAATTTCAAACCATTCCCATAAACTTAACTGACCCTGTCAGCCATATGGTCGTCATGCTTAGACTATATGAGCGGCTTGTTTGTTTGTGTGTGTGTGTGTGTGTGTGTGTGTGTGTGTGTGTGTGGGACAGAGACGAGGAATGGAAGGCTTGGCTCAGACCAGTCCAGTAATTATACTGTCTTTATATAGCTGTGGTTTGAAACTCATGGACTGAGGAAAACATCTGCTGAGCTCCACAGATACAAACCTACATGAACTCCAAGCAGTTTAATAGTGAGCGATTCCTCGTGTCGCTTGCTGTGTTGTGGGCATTTGGTAACACAGTTTACCACGTTAGTCAAGTTGCTAAGTCAACAGCACGCAGATACGGTTCAAACAGAGCTCAACTCTTTCAGCTATTCAAACTTTTGATTTATTATAAAGAATGCTCTGCGAAGGGCGTACAATTCAAACCTGATGGAGACAAATGTTAATAACTGATGTATTATTCTTTGCGTCATTGTGCAACTTCGTAAATGATTCCCCACCTTTAGTAATTTACAGTCCTTGAGATGTTTATATAAAAATCAAGTCTCCATTTATGACTGTTTGTTGTTTAGTGGAAAATTTTGACAGGCTTTGCAAACATTTAGTAAGTTGTTGTCCTGCCAACAACAACTTTTATTGTAGCTTTTAGTCCAGTACTGTCAGCTCTGTTCAGGAGGCTATGCACGAAAGGTGGTGCATTGCTCTGTAGGTGCAAATGCATGCACACATTTCTACGCACAAGAAGGAGCTGGTTTGCTTTTGATTAAAATGATTTATACCAAAGGCTTTTATCACCTATCATTCTTCTCTCTTCGGACCATATTTCCACTGCCTGACCCAGCAAAGCTAGATTTATACTTCTCCTGAAACATTTCCTTTTCCTATCAAAGACCTGCTTTAATACCTCCTCCTTTAACTGTCTGCAGCTACTAGACAATAACACATCAATCAGGATTAAACTAGTCCTACCGAAAACTGAATTAATAAGTTTGAAGACGCAAACTTTAGTCCATTTGTCTATTTGGAAAGCTTATTTTGTTGTAGT